TCTTTCCCTTGTTGTTCATGACTAGAGATGCAAATGATGCAGCCAAACCTCACCCTTATCCCCAAATGCCATCGCCCCTGGTTAAGAATGGCTTATAGCCAGGACTAAAATGTGCAGAGACCTATCAGCATGGGACCAATGTCACATCAGAGCTGGGAAGTATCTGTGACACAGCTTCAGGCAGGAGGGAAGAAGCCACTCTCATTAGGGTGGCAGCTAGGTGTCTTGGACTGATGGGGAGAAAAGGATACAGGCTGAAACCATGCACTCAGTACAATTTAAAAAAAAAAAACCAGCATCAAATTTAAAATATATTTTTTCTCTTTAAATGATTTTTTTTTTTTTTACCAATTTTTAGGGGATATCCCAGGGAGAGGGACCCATAGCCAGCTGTGTCTCCTACTGCCATTCTCCCAAGTGAGCTTGGCACAGATTGGGGAGGGGCTGATTTCCCCCCACAACACTAATACCTCTTTCATACAAGGCAGTGGGATGAGGAACAGAAGATCAGCCCCTCCCCTCCACTTTCTGGCACAGAGGGAGAGCAGTTACACTTAGAAATATATATATATTTTTTATATATGTCTATTTATAAAAATTTATCACACTTGATCAGAACTGTCCCCCCACCCTTTCAGTTGACCCCAAGGGAACCAGATACTAGCCGTGGGGCCACTCCCTGGGCCTTGCTCTCTTGATGCCTCTCTGGCCCTGGGCCTGCTGATCAGTGTGAGGTAGAACTCAGAATTATTATCCACCATGTTCTGCAAGGAACAGGCCAGCTGCTGAAGAGCAGTGCCTCTATCCACAGTACCCTGTGGGCTCCTGACCCCCACAAATCCTAATGGATGAAGGGAAGCACCTCCCACCCCACAAGTCCCTGTGGCCTGAGCCAGAGTCAGATCCTGTACTGCAGCCTCTCTTGAATTGCCGGATCACTTGCGCCTGCCAAAGATGGACTTCTTCCCAGGATTCTTGTTGCCCACACTTAAACCGATGAGGAGCCGGGCTTTCTCCTCCTCTTCCTGCTGCTGCACGTTCAGGTCCGATTTAGTTTCTAGCTTTCCCCGGACTTCAGACCCTGCTGCAGGCTTCAGCCTTAGCTTCTCTTTGATTACCTGATAGGTGAGAGAGGAGTAAAAGGGAAGGTAAATATTAATGAGACAGGCAAAATAAATCAAGTAGACCAAGTCAGTAAAGATTTATCAAACTTACATGAAGGCACAAATGGGGCAATTCAAATTATAAAATGATCTCTGCTTTCAAGAAGCTTACAGTCTATTAGAACCCACTCTAAACATGAAGTTGTGCCAGCCCTCACTTCCCTAAAAATCAACAGTAGTTAACATATATACAGCAGTCAGTAAACATTCAGTTTAACCATCTGAGCAAAGTCATGGAGAGGACAGGGATAAAAGTCACTCACTTCATTCACCTGCCCCTTTCCCAAGGCTGCTTGTTAATACATGCATCTTACAATGAAATGCTCCTGAGCAGAGGATCTGCTTGCCAGCCCCTGCTAACCAAACAGCCATGAATTCTGCCGGGATACCTGGGCAACCAGGGCTTTGCGGCTGTCCCTCTTGACAGCCATGGCAAAGTCTAGCCATGTCCATGTGTTGTTATGGTATTCCAGACAGGGCAGCACCAGGTTAAGGTCGCCCCAGTCCACACTGTTCTTCTCACCCTGCAGGAGGGGGAGGGAAGAGAAGAGAAAAAATATCAGCTGCCAGTTTTAGTCCAAGCCAGTACTTGAGTCCAAGTCTATCTAGTACCTTCCTGCAGCAGCAACCTACAGATACCTATTTCCCCTTATCTCAGTCTGGTACTGATTCCTGAGGGCAGCAGAGGGAACAGATTTATCACCCACAGACAAGCTTCACAAGCTGAACTATCTCTGTTTTTAATCTCTGATCTTATGCGGTGCCATTCCCACACTGTTCTAAAAAGTGCTGGGGGGGGGCTTCCCTGGTGGCACAGTGGTTGAGAATCTGCCTGTCAATGCAGGGGACACGGGTTCGGGCCCTTGTCTGGGAAGATCCCACATGCCGCGGAGCAACTAGGCCCGTGAGCCACAACTACTGAGCCTGATGGAGCCTGTCCTCCGCAACAGGAGAGGCCACGACCGTGAGTGGCCCCTGCGTGCCACAACTAGAGAAAGCCCTCGCACAAAAACAAAGACCCAACACAGCCAAAAATAAATAAATAAATAAATGAAATTTTAAAAGTGCTGGGGAAGGGCAGACCTTGTAGCTGACGCACAGTGGAACCTGTGGGATCTTTATGTAGATGAAGGAGTTGTTCATGGCAGCTCGCTCTTTCATCTTGTCGATATCATCCACAGGGTGCTAGGAAAGGAAGGAAAGAAGAGTGTGCCCCTGAAGCCATCATAAGAAACTCAGGACCCCAAACATCTCCATCTCCTTTCACCCCTGGAATAGACTCAAAGGAAACAAAGAAATCCCCCGCCAGGCCAGTGTACCCCAAGACTCTCCCATTTTTCTATCATCAGGGGCATGTCTGATACCTCAGGTGCTTTGCGAAATGACCTTCTGACCCCAGAACTCCGATTCAAGCCCTGTGCCACACCCTTCCCCGGGCCCAGTGGTGCTGCGTCATCTGTTGCAATCAGTTGCCGAGGCTTCACCACTGGAATTCCTATAAAAAAGCAAGTACACTAGCTGTTGTCCTCTTGCTGAAGCTTCAGCTGTCTTGGGCTGCTACCTCAGTCTTCTGGAGCTCCACCATTAAAGTTCTCACCAGTAGTCACCAGTTTGGACTTATCTTCTTCATCACCAACCTCGTCATCTTCCACACTTCGTCCAGGAAAGAAAAAGCCCATTATTCTATGAAAGAACTGGTGTGTCAGCTGGATGGTGAGAGGCACCACATTTACCTAAAGAGGAAAAAGGCTGAAGAAGCAATTAAGCTCAGACATCATCCCTCTGTTTACCTACCCCTAACATAACAACACACAGATAGTTTTTAACTGCCTTTTGTTCCTGGGTCCCCAAAGGACTGTTTACTAACCTCAAAGTGCTCCTTAACAGAAATACCCCCAACAGGGGGCCGGACTTTGCTGAAGAGGCGAAGAGCTAGCTGTCGCCCAGACTGGCAGGAGCTCTGGGGCCGCAGGACTACCTGTAGAATAAAGAGTGATAAATCAACCCACAAATCCTCTGCAGAGGAGAGACGAAGCAATGGTTTTGCTAAGCTGGGCAAGCTTCCACCATCTCAGATCACATTGTTTCCCATAGTAGGTTTATGTGGAAGGGTCACTGCAAATGCCCAGTGTTAGGAAGCATGGGAATGGGCTAGGAATACGGAAATAAGACTTACCTTATAGACAGCATTGGGGAGGAGGTTGTTCATAGTGAACCAGCCCAACTCCAGAAGATGTTCTGCTGTGTCATCAGATTTATTCACCTATAAAGACAGTTTCCCCACCCCCACCCCCAAACCACTATAATAAGCCTTTCTCAGAAGCTTGTTAGAGTACTGCTACATATATCATTTGTTTTCATGGCCAGGGCACTAAATGCCTGCAGTACTTTCCAGTCACTGTGACATTCAAAACTGGTCTCGACTTATTTCCAAATGCCCCTGGGGGGTTGGAAGAATAATGAATAATGTCCTGTCCTCCAAGCCATGGGTAACTGCAGGAAAGCTGAATGCCAATATAGAATTAATGATTCTATTCTAAGCTGGACTTGGACGATTACTTCCCTCTGAGCCACATTTCTAGGGATAACCTTATTCAATGAGGGAAGCATTTGATCAAGCTCATCTATATCTGTATTATTTAGTATTACAAGCAAATGTGTATGAGCGTCACTCTGCTCATGTTTCTATCATTATTAATAACCATTAATACCATAATTAACAGTCATATAATAATCAGTCCCTTTTTGTTTATCTCATTTTGTGAGTTAAGACTCCTGAGAGGCCTTCCCTGGTGGCACAGTGGTTGAGAGTCCACCTGCCGATGCAGGGGACACGGGTTAGTGCCCCGGTCCAGGAAGATCCCACATGCCGCGGAGCGGCTGGGCCCGTGAGCCATGGCCGCTGAGCCTGCGCGTCCAGAGCCTGTGCTCCGCAACGGGAGAGGCCACAACAGTGAGAGGCCCACGTACCGCAAAAAAAAAAAAAAAAAAGACCCCTGAGAAAGGTCAATGCCTCTCAATACAGCTGCCTTTGTGTGACTGTATATACCCAATACCTTGCTGTAGAGGAACCGCTGCAGCTCCAGTTCAGCAATTCCCAGCTGTCCATCTTCCTCTGTCAAGTGCCATCGTGCCTGAGCAAAGTAGAACTCGGTGCGGCGGACCACACTCACATCTTCTTGCTGCTTTCGCAGCTCCATCTTGTTGGCCTGCTGCAATTGGAAATCCTTAAAACACCTATAAATGGATAGGAGGGTCAAAGCCAATAAGGGCAACAGCATTTGGGTTAGGGGTGGGGCGGAATGCCCTAGAATGATGCAGGAGGTAAACCCAGAGATGGACCTATCCTAGAAAGCTATTCCCTAAATTTTTTCATTGGATTTGTTGCTTCTCAAACCCTGGGCCATGGGAGCACAAATCCCATCTTTAGTTCTACAGCTTCTTGAAAAAGTAGTCTGTTCCTACTAATAACCCCTATGATTATATCGGCAATTGTGTTCCTTAATGATCAACTTCAAGACATTTCATTTTTAGTTTAGTTGCACAGTATCAAGGCAACAAAAATGATCTTTCTGAACTACCTGTTTTTCTCCTTTCCACGGAGGTACTCTAGTAAGGATCCTAAGAAAGGGCTCTCCTGGTCTCAACCTGTTGGCCAAGTCCAACAAGACTCATTCAGG